TTCATACAACAGTATACCAAATATCGACAAAGGATCAAAGTTTTATCTGCAAGATAAGACCAAGGTGGGAAAGATCATCGATATTCCCGAAGGTTCATACGACATTGTGGACATTGAGACATTCATACGCAAAGAATTGGGCATCTCAAGTGCAAAGGACGTTGATGATATATTCTCGTTGAAGCCCAACAATAATACACTAAAGTGTGAGATTTCGAGCAAACAGTTTGCCATTGATTTTCGCCCGAAGGATAGCATAGCTCAAGTCTTGGGATTTTCAAATAGATTGTTGAACGCACAACAAGTCCACACTTCCGATTTGCCGGTCAGCATAACCAAAGTGAGAACCATTCACATTGATAGCAACGTTACTGCTGGAGCTCTCTACAACGACAGACCATCACATACGATCTACGAGTTTGCAGTTGCAGTCGATCCTGGTTACGCCATAGACGAGACTCCCAGAAATCTAATCTATCTACCTATAGTCAGCAGGCGGGAATTGCCCAACATTACACTCCAGATTCTAGACCAAGATTTCAGGCAGGTGAATTTTAGAGGTGAAGAAATCATCATAAGATTGGAATTGAAGAAACTCGCAAGATGGTACTAGTGTTTGATTACTCCTATAAATCAGATAATATACCATCATCAGCAACATCATCAGCACCAGTTTTCTCGACACCGTACACCAAAGCAGTCGTGTCTTCGAAGAGCAGCAGCAGCAGCAACAGAAAAACATTGACATTATCCAGTGTCCTGTTTCTGAAATCACTCAAAGACTACAATGTTGTTAGCACCCGTGTTCGACGTTTTCCGCAAACCCAGATTCGACGAAAGCATCACTAAAGTGGAATGGCGTACCTATTATCCATATGTGAAATCATTCGAGAACAATGATGTCATCGATATAACGGTTAATCAAGCAGATTCGTGGTTGGCCATGTTTGAAGGCATCATTACCATCAAGGGTAAATTGAAGGTGACCGGTGGTGGTACTGGTACATTAACCCACAATGCTGGAGCCTATCTCTTTGATTCCTGCACCTATGAATTGTGTTATAAAGAATTGGACACTGTCAGATATCCTGGAATAACGAGTACTGTGCGAGGATACTTATGTTATACGCCTGAAGACTCACGTCATCTAGCCATAGCAGGCTGGAACTATCCCAATGCTCCGATCCTCAACACCGATGGTACGTTTAGCATGAACATTCCACTGAAACATTTGTTTTCCATCTTCAATGATCATCAAGTGGCAACGTGGGGCAAGCAGTCAATCCGTTTAGTGAGAGCTCGCAATGATGCCAACAGTGTGAAGGTTGTCGAGAGAGCGAATACTGCTTTGCCAGGATCTCCTCAGACTCAGAGTATTGCTAAAATAACGATAGAAAGCATCAATTTGAAAGTGCCACATCTCACACCCAACGATGACATAAAGTTGCAGTTGTTGACACGTATCAAAGCAGATGAGCCTATGATGATACCGTTCCGTCGATGGGAATTGCACGAGCTACCAGCACTCACACAAGGATCCACCATAGAAATCTGGTCCGTAAAGACATGTTCTGCATTGGACAGTCCAAGATATGTTATAGTATTTTTCCAAACGAAAAAAGCCGATAATTTGCATGAAGACGTCACCTTGTTCGATAATGCCAACATCAAATCCATACGATTGGCTCTGAATAGCGACTATTATCCGCAAGAACGAATGCTATTGGACTTTTCCAAAGACCAATATGCCGACGCCCACTTCAACTATACAGAGTTCAACAAGAGCTACCATAACTGTCAAGAAAAGCGCTCTCTAGTAAACTTTGCCGAATTCAAATCCCGACCAATGTTTGTTATCGATTGCTCGAGGCGCCATCTGGGTCTAAAGTCGTCCACAGTTGACATAAAGTTGGACATTGAAGCGACTACAGGCTTCCCTCCCGACACCAAAGCCTATTGCATCATCATTCACGATCAAATCATGGAACATCTCCCACTCAGCGAAATTGTTCGAAATATTGCCTAGTTAGGTGTTGCTGCATCAGTCAGACGTCAGTTTGCTCCGAAGAGTCATGGAGATCGCACTGGTTGACATTCAAGGGTTCATGGTTGATGGTGAATTCATTCCAAAGGAAATGACCATTCGCATTGGCAAAAAGACGAGTCATTTTCTATTCAAGCCATCTGTAGAATTTTCCAGTTTAAGCAGAGAAGATAAAAAGATGGCAAATCATGTGGAGCGTTACGTTCATGGTTTAAAATATTCCAGTGGTTATGTGGATTTGAATGAGTTGGATCAAATACTACGAGATAACCTGCAGCAGACAAACATCATCTACGTAAGAGGCCATCAAAAGATTCAGTTCTTGCAGCGAAAATGTGCAGAGTTGGAGATGACCAATCACATTGTTAATTTGGAAGATTTTGACAATTCTTGGTGGCAACCAATAACGTTCCTACAATCCATTCCACCTTGCATGCATCATTTCCATGGAGGAAGGTTCCAGTGCAGTCTCCACAATGTCGATACTTTATATAATCGGTTATGTAATTTATTGCCAAAATAAAAAACTTTATAATAATTTCAGAGTTTTTATTCATCACATCCCTTATTTCTCAGTATAATGAAAATAACATGTGAGATTAAAATGAGTGAACATATTAGTGTACAACAAAGTGTCAAAATTGCAATGATATTGACAGTATCTTGATCATCATCTAATTTTGCGGGGGATTTCTTCAATGTAAATGTCTGCCAGTCTCCCATTTCGCCGTCACTGCCATCAGAAAACGATAATTTCAATTTGTAGTCGATGGTGGTCCCATTGACTCGAGGCATGTCGATTGAATATACAGGTAGTTTGTTATCATTGGCATACATTCTACTCATCAGCTTCCAATCACACTGTTGTGTACGATTCACATCAAAACATACGGCTGCATTCCTCGTATTGTACGGTATGTTTGTGTAGAAGACGTTGTTGCTCAGAGCTGTCAATAGAATGAAGCTTGCTTTCAGTATCGCCATCTAGTAGCTGTGTTGGTTGGATTCTTCTCGATGTAGGTGCAGCTGTGCGTCTCGGTTCTGTGAACACCTTGTCCCAAACACTCAATTGCTCGAAATCTTTGAACAAACAAACTTTCTGCTCATACAATTGGATGTCTGCACTGAGCTTTCTAACTTTCAACCCAAATTCTTCTAGTGCACGTCTGTATTCGTCAGAAGACATGATACAACTGTTTTTTACATCCATACCTTCAACTAATATCCATCCAATCTCTCTCTCTCTCTCTTCTTTTCTTTTTTCGTCTCTCTCTCTCTCTTTCTTGTACGCATCATCCAGACAAGGGTGTGGAAAAAGAATACACAGAAAAGTCTAATAATTGTAAAAGTGTATAATAGTATAAATGTAAAAAGGAATAATAAAAATGAAAAAAAAAAAGTTTATACAATAAAATATGAATATTAGGAATAATTAGATAATACTAAAATAATTGAAAATATACATATATACAACATAAATTATTGGATGAATAAAAGAAGTTACATTTTTTTCGTGGGAAAATAAGTCATCAATACAACAGCGTTGGTTTGAAAATTTAGATGCAAAAATACTAAGGAGAAAATCAATCCGTCAAACTGTAGTGACCCCACGGAAGTGTGTCAAATGAATCGTGAATCAGTTTCCGCTTATCATCTTTGGGACTCAGGCCAATTTTAGTCTGCTCGATGGAAAAAACATCGTGAGCGTAGGAACGAATCGTTTGCTGGGCTACGGTCTTTACTTTCCAAGCCGTCAGACAATCCACATAGTCATCAAAAGTCAACTTATTTTTGACAAGACATTTCTTGACACCCTTGGATTTTTTAGTAATACCGAAATTTTCCAATTCCCTATCTAGTCGTTCTTTACTGAATCCCTTTCTTTCCAATCGCTTTCTCTCTTTTTCAATATCCTCATCCGTTATATCCAATTTATAACTGTACATCTTGGACCGTAGTCCAGCAAAATGCGTAATAATCTTACCGTTTGCCTCATCCTTTAATAGGCCCAAGACTTTTTTATTTACTCGAGGTATACCATAAATATTGTCTGGAGCATAGTCAGACGTGTCAAATCTCTCGATATTTGCATCAATCACCTCACTATATGCATCGTCACATACAATTTCGTAGATGAAGCTGTCCGTATCGGTATACATGAGTTTTACGTCAGCTCCAAGCTTTGGTAACATGAAATTGTAGTGGAAATCATACATGACGATTTTCGATAAATCAAGAATAGCCATACCAATGTATAGGGGCTTGTTGAAAATCAGCTCTGCTTTTTTCAACTCTACTGCCACCAAATTGTCGTCGAAAACTGTCCGCTGTTGAAACCGAGGACTTGGAATTAAATTTTTAATGCCATAGCGGCCTTCATACATTCTGACTAACTTTACTGTTCTATGATTACGAATATTCTCCATAGTCTTCCCAAACACCGCATTATTGGCCAATTTCCTTAAATCTTTTTCAAAATCGTTTGTGGCTAGAGTCCTCAATCGAGTATTCAACTCGATGTAGGGCTTTAGCCACGTGGATTGTTTGAACTTTAATACTTTATGAATCTTGGTTAATTTCAGACCGTGTTCTAATGCCTGCTTCAAATTTCGATAATGTAAAGTATATTGTTTTTTTATCGTGGAGTGTGGTCATTAATTTGGATAATTTTGAATTTGGCGGTGTGCGGTGTTCGGGACAAAATGGAAGGTCCTTGTGTAGGTCATGCAACCCCTCAGGATACTCCAAATCAACTTGGAGAATATAGCCTTCTGGACTGTTGTCATGAATTTGGGTTACATCAATGTCAACATTTTCTACCCATGTAAAGCCCCCATAAGGGAGGGGTTCACTCATTGCTTTTCCATAAAGGTTATTTACATCGAGATAAAGAAGGTACTTTGACGGCTTTTTTGGATCGTAATTTTTCTGATATTTATTGTTTGCTTCGCTATACCTATTGCAACAAACCGATACTCCTCCTCTTATCGCCTGCTCCACAAACATCACCATGTCGATATCTTTGATGATTTGCAGCTTACACCCAGTATACTTGAGCATGCAGTCCCAAGTATAGCCGGGCATGGTGTAATACCAAGCAGGATCGAGGCCATAGGTCTTGAGGGATGACGCACGGAAATTTTCCATGACGTCAGCAAGAAGAAGAATATCGGTCCGCATATATAGGTCGCTATATTCTTCCAGCGATTTCAGCTCGAAAGATTCCCAAACTTTTTGCGCGTGCGCGTAATCGTCGTCCGAAATATTTGTATCGTTCAATTTGTTATAGAAATTTTGAATACTTGGCAACTCGGATTCATCCAATCTTTCCACATTATCGACATAGTCATATGGGAATACTCCTTTTCGTGTCAATAATTCAAATTTCGTCTCATTTACGTCACTAAATTCTTTCTTTAGAATTTTCAAATCATTAACTTTTAGCGTTGACACTAAAGCATCGAGACTGGTTCCCAAAAAGCGGAAAGAGTCGATGAATCGGAATTTTATGCTTGTTTCATCATCATGTTGTGTAAAGGAAATGTATTTTTCGCGATTAACCGGGAGTACGCTCACACGTCCCCGCTTGGAAATGTCTCTGATTATAAAATGCGAATCATATCCTGAGAGGTTGTGGAACGTAATGGGAACAACGAACAGTTTCCTAAAGTTGAGATTACAGGGAGCCTGGTGTGCGAAGCCTCTGAATGCGCCAGTAAAATGGTCGTGGTCACGTACGATAACGTCTTTTGCCTTGAATTTCTCTTCGCAAATGTGGCAGATGGTTGCGCCACTGGTACTAGCCGGTTTGACTACCATTGGAACGATATTTTTCAATTTGGATTCGACAAATTTGGCAATTTTAGACATTTCGCAGGCAAACCAGTCCATGCAATCTCCACCCCTATGACTACGATAAAATGACAGCGAGTCATCGAAAGAACATTTAAAATAGTACCCTGCACTGTATGCTTTATGATGTTGATACTTTGAAGTGGTTTTTGAAATTTTGGAATTACATTTCTCCAACTGCGATTCGAAATCAGCATAAATGATGAAAGGACATGTCTGCTTATACACATGGTTCTTAAATTCTACAAAATCATACTTGGGGAATGAAATTTTCTCATTATTAATTTTCTCACATAGAGCAGCATGACTATCAAGCTTCTCCTGGCAATGGTAATAGTTGAGGCACCGATCGCAGATGAATTTCTTTCCACAATGTTTGTTGAGTTGACTTGATACTAGTCGTGAAAGGTCCTTAATCCAGACATAGTGATATTTTATATTAACGTTCTCTTCAGCATTATCGTTGTCAGGAGGAGCTTCATAGTCATTCAATTTTGGGAAATATTTGTCTTGAATTAATAGCAAATTAACGTGTCGATTACATTTATGCTTAGTCAGTCTGGTGGGTACTACAGAGTAAAATGTTCGTTCGTTGACTTCTGTCAACTCTAACGCATAAACATTCACCGAAATAGCATTCATTTTTTCAAATTTTGTGATTTGGGGCAGCTTCATTGGTATGTCTAATCCTTTAATGTTCAAAATCTGTGAATAGTGAGGATAATTCTTAACTCTATTTGAATTTTTTTCAATGGGATGCAAACAACTGACTATGCTCCAATAGAAGCAAGCCTCATCATCATTTTGAACGTTAATGCAGGCATGCTTTCTCTCAATCTGCTCTGGTAATTTGATAAACGATGAGCCATTTCCCATTTCATATTTATTTATGGCAACCTCCAAAGAAATAATTTCGCTCAAGGCCCACCCGCTATTCTTCTCGGCAAATTCGCTAAGTTTATTAAGGATCACATCTAGCGCATTGATTTTGAACCAATCGGCTAGGTCCGTTCCTGCGTCCACGATGGCATTGGGAGTACAAAAATGTTTGCGGTCAACTAATTCCCCATTATTTGACTGCTTAATGAAGTCACCGGAAAATGTAAAGTTGACTTTTAGCATTGAAAAGCGCCCCAAAATTTTTGAAATTCTCTTATTTACTAATCTAAATGAATCCTCCAAAAAGTCGATAATCTCCTTATGTCTCAAATTCAGAATAAGACCGGTCTGCACTCTCGACGCGAAGATTGAATTAACATCAATCCAACGAATATAGGGCTTCAGGCCGGAGCCAACATGTCCTCTATTCATAGTTTTGATGAAAAATCTCATCCGTTTCAGTTCCCCGATCTTAGTCTGAATTTTACGCTTCAAACCAATCGAAAAAGTATTTCTTTTCAATGCTAAATTACATTTCCGTATGTGTGAACGGATTGATTTCAATACAAAAAGTGCCAATGGTTTCGAATAATTTTTCTTAATTAATAAAAGAGTTTCGTCGACTTTGGTCAAGGTTTTATTGATACTCTCCATTGCTGTATTGATGATATTTTACCCAAATGAAACAAATGTAGCTTACTTTAATTCCCCAAAATTTCAAACGAAGCTGCTGGATTGGCCTTCCCAGTCTGCACCTTTCCTCTGAATACCAAGGAATATTTCCCGCTACCGAAATATCCAATGTGGGAGGAATAGGTCTCAGTTACACGACTGGGCAGGAACACAACAGAGTCCTCCAACTCAATCAGAACAGATTTACCAAATTTTGTGGTGACCACTTTCGCTGTCTTGATTGGTTGGGGTTGACCGAGCAGGAGATCCACCAACTTCACGCTTGGTTTCTGTTGTTTTGGAGCAATCAGAGAAGCTGCGTTGATTTGAGTAAGATCCATCTGGTGGAAAGAAAAAGGACAAAAAACATCAGCAGTCCAACAAAGTCATGATGAGCTTGATACTAGGATGGATTATTTTCGATAAAACTAGAAATGAAATCAATCTGCGATTGATCATTGACACTTTCATTGAATTGTCTCTCGAAAAAACTTGGAATGAAAAAGGTTGATGCGGAATGAGCACTAGGTTGTATTATTTTCAAAATAAAATGAAAGGGACCGATATTATAAAATTCGAGAAAGGTATGGGCACTGAATGAATAATTTGCAATGAAACTTAAAATAAAACTAAGAAACTCAAAATGGAATAAAAAAGTTGGATAATATAGGATTGAGAATATAAATACGCACTTTGATAAAAAAGAGGTACTTACTATTATTGCTATTAATGCACACACACACACACACACAAACAGTGATGATTTGGCTGGAGCTGGTCAAGAGACAACGTTCACGATTGCAGACTCGAGTGTGAATGATGTTGTGCGGCGTCATCGCTTTTATACGCTGGCAGAGTTACCTCGTGACTTGCTGATAGTAGACGCGGATGTTCTGGAAAAACCCATCCAAAACGACTACTGATAGCAATAATTTCTTGCGTCAATCTGATAACGTATTTTGTTTATGCGACTAGTTGGGTTTTTTGTGGTTTTGATAACCTCCAACGTTTCCTGTTATGCTGCTGATTGTGAAATTGTTGGGTTTTTTGTAGTTTCGATAACCTTCAACGTTTCCTGTTATGCTGCTGATTGTGAAATTTGTTGTTGGGTTTTTTGTGGTTTCGATAACCTCCAACCTTATCTGTTATGCTGTTGATTGTGAAATTTGCTGTCGCTGCACCCGTGTACAGATAAGCGCGCGCCAGCGATGGATATTATTTTCGACTCGAAGTTTCTTATCTCTGGAATGCATCTCTCGCTTCACTCTACCTCGATAGATCCGTTGCAAAGATAAGCGCGCGCCAGCGATGGATATTATTTTCGACTCGAAGTTTCTTATCTCTGGAATGCATCTCTCGCTTCACTCTACCTCGATGGATCCGTTGCAAAGATAAGCGCGCGCCAGCGATGGATATCCCGTTTGAATAGCATTAAAATAATTGAAATATCACGGAGGTCGGAATACCACAGTGCGTATATACGCTGCCTCATAATGCAAAGGTCCCTGGTTCAATTCCCCCCAGCGGTGACAGCTTTTTTTAATTTATTTATTCACGATGGCGACGTGACGACGTATGAATAATTTGAATTTCGCGCTGGTTTTTAGTGGGCGTGGCCTCCAACCAAATGCTGGTCTCTGATAGGCTTGAGCCAGAACATACATAGCCCTTCTACTTGTTTAGCATACACAAACTGAGAGAATTTTTTTATTCCAAAATATACAGCAAACAGTTCTTTCTCAATTTGACTATAATTTTCTTGAGCCTGAGTTAAAGCTCGTGAGGTAAATGCACATGGCTTTCCCTCTTGCAAAAGACAAGCACTCATGCCTTTTTGACTGGCATCTACAGAAATAGTGCTTAATTTATTTATATCAAAAAATTGTAACATAGGACAACAACACACTTTTTTTTATTTCCTCAAATGCTTTCTGATGACTATCTTCCCATCTAAAAAATATCTCTTTTTCGAGCAATTCCCTCAACGGTGCAGTTAAATCAGACAAATTCTTCACAAACTTTGACAAGTCACACACCGTAAAAATCTCTGCAAATCAGTTTTATTTTCAGGCACTGGCATATTCTTAATTCCTTCAACTTTTGAACCATCAGGTTTTAACCCTGTTTCACTAATTATATGTCCCATGTATTTGACACTGCTTGACGATAAAATACATTTCTGTTTACTAAACCTTATACCATTTTTTTATGCTCTATCAAGTACTTCTTTTAAGATTTTCATATGGCGAATAGGACATTTTGAATAGCAAACTAAGTCATCACTATATACTTCACAACCTTCAATATATCCAAAAATCTCTGTCATATATTGCTGAAATCGAGGGGGTTGCCACAACTGATTTTAACGTACGAACTATTGCCATTTCCCAGTATTTCCTAATATTGCCCAATTTCCTGGCATTTTCTCATATTTCCAATTATTGCCCCGCATTTCCCGGCATTGCCCCACATTTTCCGTTATTTTCCTGCATTTCCCAGTATTGCCTCGAACTTCCAGAAATTTCCTCGTATTGTGTTAGCATCTAGCAACTAGATGCGCCACTGCTCAGTGTAATGTGCTTAGATCAGAGCCTATGACAGACGTGTGTAAAGACTGGTTCATATAGTATTCGGCTGATGGCAGCCGAGTGGTGAACAAGTGTAACCCTTGTCCATGTCATTTGTGCTCGTGTTTATTATATTATGACCATAATATAACATATTGCCTCGCATTTCCCGTATTTCCTAGAATTTTCTCGTATTGCCCCGCACTTCTCAGTATTGCCCCGTATTTCCCGGTAGTGCCTCGTATTTCCAGAAATTTCTCCGTATTGCCTCGTATTTCCCAAATTACCTTGTATTGCCCCGTATTTCCCAGTATCGCCTTGTATTTCCCTGAATTTCCCTGTATTGCCTTAATTTCCTGACATTTTTCATTGGTTACACAATCGTTTTTATATTGTCAGGCATTCTCTAATATTTCACTACAATAATATTGTTTTACGACAGTAGGTAATATGAAAAAAATATACAATCGAAAAAAATATGTATTCTTATAAATATTCAACAAAAAAAACATAATATGAATCACAGTAGGAACGTTTGAGTGGAGAACCTATAAATGACTTAAACACAAAAAACTGAAAAAATATCTATTCCTAATGACTATTATCACTTCAACAAAGAAAACAAAACATGGGTCATTCAATAAAAAAAAAATCAAATTCCAAACTAAAATTAACTACACCCCTTTCTTTTTCAAATCTTTATATATTTTTTTAATATTATTCCGATCATATCTTGTGATCTGTAGTGGGTCACAACCAAGCATATTTATTGGTCCATAAAATATTTGTTCTTTATGGACACAATCTACGTCGTCTGATTTAGGCCAGTAAAAATTATTCAGGTCTTCTTTCAGAAATTTGAGAGAACACATTTCATTTTCTTTGTATTCTAAAACTCTGCCAATATACCATCTTTGTTCATAAAACACACTATAGTATTTTTCAACATCAATTTGAGAAACAAATTCATTACCAGTGAGATTAGCGCCATCTAATGAAATATCGTCATCATCGAATTCATTGATTTCATCAGTGTCAGAATCATTGAGTTTCAATATTGCATCATCTTCTGAATCTGAATCAGGACCCTCGAAAGCAGTAGTGTTAATATAGTTAAGTATATCTTTATCTATCATTGATTTGTCAAAGTCTTGTTGGATGGGTTCAGGTACACTAACTTTATAATTAGAAATATCACAAAAGCCATACTTATTCATATTCGAATTCAAGAGACCACCATCTTCTTCAATATCGTACCAGTGTGCTAAACAACCAATGGACGATTTCAACTCAGAAATGTTAACAAAATTTTTGGAATATTCATTCTGTTTCCCTTTTTTGGACAAAAATTTGAATGATAAAATACAACCAATGATGAAGTCTGTTCTTTTAGATTTCAAATTATTTTTAAAGATACACCAGTCTCCAATAGATATTATATTTGATGATTTGAGTTTTGATTCATTTCTTTTCTCTGACCTCACTCGAATCATTCGATCACTTGATAGTTTAGACCGATTTTTAGTGAAAAGCCAACAAAGAGTTGACTTTCTTACAACCATAAGTTCATTTTTGTAAGATACGCGCAAAAAAGGTCCGTCATCGAAAAAACTATTGGTTTTTTTGTTGGTTTCCTTAGAGTAGTCTTTAATTTGTAAGTGATCTTCAATACTTCCAATACTATTCAACAAAAGTCTTTCTGGATGTGATAAGGTACCTGTGAGTTCATCATCACTCAAATCATCTTCAACCAATGTTGCAATATCATCAGATTCACATGATGCATTCACATAAGGACGAATGGATGAAATTTCACGCGATGTGTCATCTTCATTTCCATTTTCTGTGTCATCATCATCATAGCTTTTTAAATTTAAATTTAAGTAAAATGAATCCGGTATATCATTTATACCTAAATCATTCAATGCCAGTTTTGCATCATGTAAAGATGATAGCACGATCGATTCTATTTCAGCGTCAGTAAGAGGAACAAATGGAATTTCTTGAATATCTTCTGATCCTAATCGCTCACTACTTTCACGAGGGAAACAAAAATTATCCTTCAAATTGTTAACTGCATTTTGGAGAAATTGGATTTTGTTGATACGATTAATTATTTCTAGAAGACTGAAATTAACTATAGTAGAAAATGTGCTTGTCATGGATCTTGTTGAACGAAATAATTGTTCACAAGGTTGGCTACTCATCAACCATGGAACGAACATACTGGAGGGAAACTGTTCTGGGAAAAGGGAAAATTTCCTAATCAAAAGTATCAAAGAATGGGCATTTATTTCAACAGATATGTAATTATTCAATGTGATGAAATTGTCTTTGAGTGTGAATTCATTCTTTACCAAAATCCAATTTCTCCAAATTCTCAGTTGAAATACCACTTTCCATGCAAGATATAACCTTTTTTGAATTGACATGTTTTTTTTCAAAAAACTGTCGAGCATATCTCTAATCATTTTCAAATATAGAACAGTAGCTTCTGAATTAGGTACATGACTTAGTAAAGCTGTCGTTACTTTATCTGATGTTATTTTCTCCACTGATTGAAAATTCATCTTATCATCAGGATGTATGTCATATCCAGTTAAAAAGTGGACATCTTTGGACACTTTCGTAATAAGAATTGCTAGGTGAGATGAAGAAATAATTTTATCTCCTACTGGCAGGTAAATTGATGGTTTGAGTAGGCGATTTCTGAATTTTGTACCAATATGGACAGTATCTTGAATTGGAATATTTTCCGTCTGGAGATTGGCTTGAAACCAATTCCAGGAAGCATTGTGCTGTTTTGAATAAGGAAAGCTTGCCTCCAAACGCATGCATTTTAGTAGACGCGGGTCACCATCCGATGAGAAGCCGAGTACATGGATGCCATATTTCTTTTGCGCATAATCCTTCATTGTATGCCATCTCTGACGAATGTGTTCCGAAGAAAATTTATTATCAGTTCCAAAAACAGTCAAACAAAATGATGGACAATTGTTTTGTAATGGTTGTGCCACGATGACATATGCATAAGAAGATACAGTTTCTTCTGAAAACTGACGCTTAATTTCTTGGTAAGAAGTTGCCTAAAAAATAAAGAATTGTTCAGCTCTTGAATACAGGGTGAAATAACAAAGAAAATGTTTTTCGGTATTGTAGAAGTTGAGGTAGAACAATCAGTAAGGATTTAATTACGTTGCAGAATTAAAACAAGAATTAATTGATTACTTGAAAAATAAGTTGAATAATGAAATATAGAAAACACTAGGAAAAGCTGGGAAAAGGCTCTGAACGGACTCTGAACGAAATTCCAGTTCACGTGATAATTTGAGTTACCAATATAATTCGGTATTTCGGTAGTTACATTGACGACTTACAACTTTTAATGCAACATCTAATACATACCTTGAAAAGATTGGTGTTTATTAAACCATCTTCCATGATGGGTAATACAAAGCCAACGTTTTTGTTATCTCGGGGAGAATAGTCAACGCGTTCAATAATTTTGGTGGCGTCTTCACTGATCCAAACGCAAAGAGGGAGATTTCTGGATACCAAAAACTGTTTTAGTTCTCGAAATCTAAATTCACCTTCGTTGAAAGTTTTCGACGATTTTCGAATCTGCCTCCTTACTGTTGTGATAGATGGTATAGAGCCACTCATATTAGCATACAGAGTTTCGTACATTAAGTTTCCACCAATCAGATATAAGTATGTAGAAAACTCTTTCAATGACGTATCATATCGATTTCGTTTCGAATTGGTATTCGATTGATTCTTGATGACAGTGGCTTTGAATAGTTCTAATAAGTTTTGATTTTTCTTATCCCTCTCAACATGTATTACCTTATTCGCCCTACTCGACATCATTCTGCTCAATTCGTCATTTGCAGAAAATATTTCTTTAATTTTTTCGATCACAGGAAAGAATTGTGTGATGAATGTCTGATTTTCAGGAATTACTCCTAATTTTATTTTATTTCTTTGGCTCCTTGTTGCCCACTTAGGATTTTCGTTTAGCACCCTGATAGAAGAAATTGTGGAACTACCGGTGCTTTCTGTAGATCCACCCACTAAAAATCCGGTACTTCATCATCTCGTTCTTCACACATTTCGATAACTTCATCATTGTTCTTATGACTCGCCTCATCATCTAGATAACAATCCTCTTGAGCAACAGGGATCGGATCAGAAAGTGTTTTTGAGGAGCAGCCTGCGAGTTCTTCTCGTAGCTGGCCTTCTACAGGTTTTTTTTTGCGCAAATATTTCAAGATAGACGAGGGAGTGGGACCCTCCTTCTGAGATTTCGATCCGGAAGTGTTTTCGGAGAAATGTTTATTTATATGGTTATAAAAGTTGCTATTGATCCATCTAGGCAGTTTTCCTTCTTCCTTTTTTTTTATAAATTTTGATTGTTTGCTCGCAGAAACAACATGACACTGAGCATGACAATGTTTCCAAAGGATTCAAACCAATTTTACATTGAACCATCAATTTATTTTCATCGATCTCAAAACTTCCATTTGGAACTTCTCTCGCCCTATTCTTTATAAAATTTATTAAAATTTTCTCGATTATTGTGTTTTCATTATTCAAATTTATACTGTCTCTCGGACTCTCTGTAGAAACTGATTGTATTCGTTTTTTATTTTGTGAGTTTTTTTGGGGTATTTTATCCGGTATGTTAGTCCGAGGGATCTTCAAATCTCTGACGGTTTCTAATAATGTTTTTCGGTATCCAGAAGCAATGACAAATTTATTTATTTTATCCTTGAATGGCCCATAAAAGTTCTCATATTCCGATTCCTCTATGATGTCCTTCAGATTATTTACTGCAAATTCTTGAATCGAATGAATATCTTCATCTGAAAAATTTCTCAGAGATTTTTCATTATTGTAACCTGTTATAATCAAAAGATTATATAAAAATGTAGGAAGAGAAGATTTAAAATAACTGTCGATGTTCGATAGAGAGAGGGATTGTTCCTCGGATTGTTCTTGTTTATCTGCCATTCTGAAAAAAAAACAGTCGAAATAGTACATTATTCACATATAGGGACTAAAGTGGTATTTTAAATACCGAAACAAAAAGATTATATATAATTTGTCCAGGGATTTAATAACATTTTAGTCCTTAGGTGTATATACTATTTTATGCACTTTAGAATAGGTAAAACGTTAAAGAAAGAATATAACAAAAAAATAATAATAATTTACCCCTTTTTCACTTGGCTAATTGCATGCAGTGGGGTGAACATAAATGTTTATAATAATAGAAATTGAATTGTTTTCTATAGTTCAATATTGTTCTGAACATGTTACATTTTTGTTCAATCCATATCATGTTATACCTATTTCTAATAAAATTATTGAAAATGAATATCTATTTTTTATTTAATGAAAGGTAGGTACTCTGAGCAAAATCATTTTTTTATGTACCTCGTATACTACTGAAAAATATATCTGCATTTCCTGGCATTTCCGGTTTTAGGCCTTGCAGAGCTTTTTATAATGAATGGTATTTTTTCGTTAAACTGATAATAAAGAAAAAATATTCACAAGAAATTTTAAAAAAATTATAAAACCTGATCGTAGATAGACGTCATAAGTTATTTGAACGTAATTTCTTCTAATTCTAGGCAACTTTCCACAATAACAATTCTCGATAATGTCGAAAGGTAAAGGTCCGAAAGGTACTTTACTCTTGAGCAAAATTGATATTTTTGACATACCTCGTATAAGACTGAAAAAAAAAATGGGTATCTGATTATTGAATTCTCTGTTTCAGGCGAGGTTTCAGGCCTTGCAGAATCTTTCACGAGATATTTCATGAAGCATTACTTTTTTCCTAAGATTGATAATAAAAAATTATCCATTTTTTGCCAGCTTTTTCAGACATACTCTATACTGGTTGTCCCAAGTTATCGTATACAGGCAATATCCCGCTTATTCGACAAGTTATTTGAAAATTGAAAAACTGCTATGAATGGCCTTGAAGTACCTTCGAAATGAAATATTCAAAAATGTATTACATTTGACAGTTCTCTGGTAGCTACTTTTTATTTTCAAATGGCACCCCCTGTATATTGTCATTGTAAATTACGTGTCATTCCATTTGGAATACAAGGATAGCATTACAACGATAGGTATTTTTTCATTAATAGCAACAAAAACTCGTTTCCAAACATTTTGGGGTATAAATGTGTGGTGTGGGTTA